ATTAGCGTTAACATCTAGATCAAGTATATAGTCCTTCAAAAATTTTGTTAAAGGGATTGTGACAATGTGTCATTTCTGTTAAATAGTCCATTTTGACCCTTTTTTAGATCAAATACTCCATCTAAAAACATAAGTATATATTTATACAACATATAACACAATTTCTATTAGATCATCATTATCTGTATGAATACTGTTAAAAGCATAAAAAAAAAATTATCATCATCTTGGGAAAACGGCCAATTCTCTTAGGAATTCTGATTATTTATACACGAAATATAAACACATGCCATAATGCATATGAACTAGTTATAAATTTAAATTTACGAGATAAAAAAAAATTTAAAAAATGGTTGATTCTAACAAAACTGTAAACAGAGTGAATTTTTCGTTAACGGTAGCTGACGTGGAACATGAACCCACTATTTTTTCGGAATTTTCTTTTCGATCGTCATCGTAAGAAAAAATGAAATGCTTTTAAGGAATTTCTAAGCATTTGCCCAAATGATTTCCTCCCCTTAATATTCCCTTTCTCGACCACCAAAAGATATTCTTCTTTTTTATTAATTTTTTTTTTCTTCTTTCAATAGAGAATCAAGTTCAGAAAACAAAATACCGAAACTTTTTGTTCAACAGATATCGTCTCTTTCTTTGAAATTCATCGTTTCAAGATAAAATACTTATGGAAAAAACTCGTCGCCTTTACCATAAATCCCAAACTGGTCACTAATAATTTGACCTTACCATAAGTTTTTCATATATATCATGGATAAATATGACTAAAAATTATGATGCAGAATTGTAGACAGAGGAAGACAGATAATTTGGTATCTCTCGAGGAGGTCGCTTTCCTAATGAATTCGTTATTATCCAGCATTTTTGCCTTAAAATCGAGTGATTGGTCTTAAAAAAAGACCAAATCTAACAATGAAATGAATGTTGAAAAGACAAAGAAGGCAGCACCAAAATCTCAACATCAAAACTTTTTTTTATTATTTGTCACCTAATTTGACTAGATAGCTGTTATAAACCAGACTGTTCT